GGCTGGGATTACAGGCATGAGCCACCACACCTGGCCTGAATCTACCTTTTAATAAGATCCCCAGCTGATATGTATGAACATTACCTTTGAGGCACTCTGGTATTTCTTAACCTTGGCTACATGTTAGAATCACCTGAGAACTTGGACAACACTATTGATGTTAAGGTTTAACTTCAGATCAGAACACCCAGAATCTCTAGAGGTGAGGCCTGAAACTTGGAATTTTACCTAGTAATTTCAGTGTACAGTCAACACTACTGATCTTAGAAAAATAATTACTTCTTGGTCATCTACTATGTGCCAGACACTGATTAGGAGTTTTACAGAGGCCCGTAATGGTAAGCACTGTTTCCTCCATGTCAGGGATGGCATGTCCCATGCCCCACAGGCCCCATGCCAGAGCAGGCATTTAACCCAGAGCCCAAGCTCCAGGCACCACCCATTCGGCTGTCAACCATAGCAATATCCTCATATCTGAGGACTTACTGACAAGCAGAGAAGCTCCAGGGAACCCAGGTTGAAGGAATGCAATGTTCCCTTATGAAAAAGCAAAACAGGCTGAAACAGCAAAACTCACAAAAACAGCACAAATTTGTGAGTTGCTGCCACTTGCTCAGCTGAGGACCCACCCTCCCTGGAAAGGCCAGGTGCACCACCAGCCCACAGGCCAAGTGACACGCCACTGGACAGAGTGTCCAGCACCCCTGCACTCTCCCATCCAGAAAAGCCAGGCCAGCCAGGTGAAGGACTACATCCGGGTTTAATGGAACATTGATGAACAAGACGTACTTATTAGTAAACAATAATTACAGGAGAGCAGGTGCCCCAAGGGGAGCAGGTAACACAGGGGCCCCTTTTCCTAATGCCCTCCGTGCGCCAACCCTGTCTGAAATTAAAACATCCCTGCTGTCAACATGAGCGTTTAAAGAGACCTGGATTTCTGTAATAGAAGCAGTAATTCTAATGCCTGCTATTAATTGAAGGCTTCACCATATACAGGGTGCTTTCACAGAGACTGATGCATTTAATCCTCAGAACAAGCCTGCCAGGCAAGGATTTTTCCTTTTCTCATTTTCTAGACGAGGAAACTGAGGAAGCGGCAGGCCCAAGGTCACGACGCTGGTCCCTGAGTCATGGAGCCGAAATTTGAACTCAGGCCTTCAGAAGCAAGGCTGGTGCCCTCTGCACTGCCCCACTGCTGCCCCCTAAACCATGCTAATAGCATTCGGTCAAAACCCCAATCCCCCCCAGAAAATGTGCCCTGCACTTTGGAATTCTCTTTGCTGCTAGTCATCGGAGCCTCCATCCCTCCCAGCCCACATCCTGTGTTCTCGCTTAACTCTTGGGAGACATTCTTATTGTTCCCAGTGCTTCCCTTTTCGGAGTCTGAAGGCAGCTATGAGCAACAGTTTGGCAGCCCAGAAGGAGACCAAGGCAGGCAAAATCTGAAAAGTTTACATATAAGCATACACTCACAGAGACAGACAGACAGACAGACACACACACACACACACACACACACACACACACACACACTGCATTTCAATAGCAGCACATGTTCAGGGTAATGTTTTAAGTCACCCTCAAAATCTAGGTGGAAGTCACAAACGAAAGAGATCATGAACACTTCAAATATGGCTACAGAGTTATAAGCGTCATCACCAACTCGGGGAAGATTAAGGAATCTGGGAACAAATTAGCCTGTTGTAGACAGTGACTTAAGGAGAAGTCTCAGGGAGGAGTCAGAGAAGCCAACAACTTTAAATCCTATAAAGTTTTTTAATCAAGTTACGCTATTATTTGAAATTGGCAGAACACCAATGGATTTAGTCCAAAGACATAATTTATGATTTTTTTTTTTTTTTGGTTTTCTTTTTTAAGGGCATTAGGGTTTTAGTTCCTTTTTTTCTTCTTCTTGAGGCATTTTTTTTTTTTGGCAATATGTCGCTTTCTTTTCTCAGATCTGTTTTCATCCAACATGTATAAAATGAAGCCAGTTCGAGGGAGCCCTACCTTCCCCTTCTCCACATACCCCTACAAGAGCTCACTCTTCTGACTGGGCGTTGTGGCTCATGCCTATAATTCCAGAACTTTGCGAGCTTTGGGAGGCTGAGGTGGGAGGATCGCTTGAGCCCAGGAGTTCAAGACCAGCCTGGACAACATGGCAGAACCCCATCTATCCAAAACATAAAATAATTATCCAGGAGTGGTGGCACGTGCTGATAGTCACAGCTACTCAGGAGGCTGAAGTGGGAAGATGGCTAGAGCCCGGGAGTTTGAGGCTGCAGTGAGCTATGATTGTACCACTGCACTCCAGCCTGGGCAACAGAGGGAAACCCAGTCTCAAAGAAAAGAAGGGAAAGGAAAGGGAGGAGAGGGGAGGGGAGGGGAGGGAAGAGGAGGGGAAGGGGGGAGGAAGGAGGAAGGAAGGAATGAGGAAGGACGGGAGGGAACAAGGGAGGAAGGGAGGGAGAGAAGGAGCTCTCTCCTTGATTAAACTAGCCAGCTCTGTAGCCATAAGCAACATAGCATAATTTTGTGCAAATGGCTTTCTACTCCCACTGGTTCTCCCTAACCCTTCAGTTATTCTCTTGCAGAGAAAGAGAGCAGAGTGAATGCCAAATCACCCTAAAACTTTCCTCCCCAAGTGGCCCCCCTCTATTCCAAGTTCCCCCAAAAGCCTTCCTCTCAGGAGTTTTGTCCTGAGGAGCCTCTCAGCTCCAGGAGGCTGTGGGCCCCTCCTGGCCTGTCCCTACACCCCAAGGCCTCTCCGAAGGCAGCTCTCCCTGCCCTCCCTCGCTTCCTTCCCAGGGAGCCCCCATGAGGCTTCGGTGCCCTGGGAGTGCACACATACATGCAACTCTCCTCCCACAGGCCCTGAGAAACCCTGCAGATCAAAGAGCCCAGCAGCGGAGCCAGGTGTCCGTCCTCCTCCACAGGCCACGATTAATCAGACCGCCTGACTCACAAGGAGATCAAACCCGGCACCCCGCCAGCTGTTGGTGAACACTGGCCTTCAAGTTGCCCTCATTAAATTTCCTTTCCCTCTTGCTCTCCCTGCTGACTCCTGTCCCGTGACCATCTTGCTCTTGGATCTTCCTCTCGGTGCTCTTCTCTCCCCCCATCCCCGCCGTGGGCCTTGCAATTTCTGTTTTCCCCCATTTCCTTTCTTTGCCCTGTCTTTTTCTTGTTCTACTCACACCCTCTCCCCCACCTACCAGGTCTCTCTCTTCTTCCATTCATTTAAAACTCCAAAGCCCCCAGACCCCATGCCTGGAGAGTCCTTCCTGGACATCCTATTTGGCCTATAAAAGTTCCAACAAGGAAGCAGCCTGGGCCATCGGTGCCAGGCTGCAGGGGTGCCCAGCCACCAGGGTATTGAGGAGGGAACATCAGGCCAAGGAGGACTCCACCAATGCTGAGCTGAATTCTCACCTGACCCTCTTTGCAGCACGTCAGGCCTCCACAGCAGCACCTCCCACCACACACACACACACACACACACACACACACACCCCACTTTCAGACTGCTATTCACTTCTTGTTTTCAAAAGACGTCTAAGCCCTCTCTGAGGGAGCTTCTTAGTGCAGCCTCTGATTGCTGGGTCAGCTATCCAGTTCTCACCCCACCCGTCCAGTTTGCAAACCTCACCAGAAGAACCAGTTTCACCTAGAACAAGAAACGCAGTCACCTAGAAGCTGGAAAAACGAGCAAAGATCCTTTCTATTCCTCCCATCAATGCCCAGAAAGAGGAAGGGTGGGAGCCTTGGATTCTGGCTTTGACTCTGCTGATGTGTTGCGAATATTTACTCCAGTTGTCTAAGGATTATTTTTATACACTTTTTCTTGCAACAAACACTGGCAAAAAAATTGTTTTTTAAATAAAAAAGCAAATATAGGCTGTACAGGCTGCGGGGGACTGTCCTCTCTTTCTCAGCCTCACTATATATACATCTATGGATTTTTTAACTTGTTTTTCATTTCAGCGGTTCTTAAAGCACACAGGCGTGAGAAAACACAGATGGGTTGGAGCCGACTACGTCGTAACTGTGCACAGAAGACATCACACCATGTTCAAGATTTTCAGACGTCTTGGAAGACCTCGGGATGCAGAGAGGTTTTTTGGTTTCGGTTTGGGGTGCTTTTTTCTCCCCTTTCCTCCTTACATCGTTGGAATTCACTGCTTGTTTCCTTTCCGTTCTATTTCTATATCCTGGCAGCACCTGCTGCTGATGGGAACGCAGGATCCCTTGGCCTCGGTGACGGGGTCACTGGGGCTGCCCCAGGCTTGACCCCACCTCTACCTGTGTCTGTTTCCCCAGCTGCAGGGAGGCGAGCCGGGCAGGAGGAGAAGCCATCCATCAACCTGCAGCAGCCCAGGCCCAAGTGAGGGCGGGAAGGGTCAGGGCTGGTGAGCACTTGAACAGGTTGGAGAGGAGGAGGAGGTTACAGATTGTTGAGATAACAGCGCTGGCCTTGATGGATGGTGCAGGAGGAACGAGACGCCTGTCCTCCCAGCCTCCTCTGGCACCAGGACAGAGCCCACACTCTGAGTCTCTGCTGACTTCTTCCCGCCCCCCCACCCACACCCCAACACACACCCGCCCCCTCCTCCCCAGCTTGCTTTTTCTTGCCGGCTCACAGCCCATCCGTCAAGCCCTGCCCTGAAGCTGACCTTTTGCAGAGAGCAGCCAGCCTAAGAGAACCACCTCTTGCTGAAAACTCTCAGCAAGGGGTTTTATGAACATAGGCAGGCCGGACATGGGCACCACAGCCACTCCCCTGCCCCTCTGCCTGCCTCCTCACCCGGGAGTGCTGTCAGCCCTGAGCAAGAAGAAAAAGGCAAGGGTGTGTCTGGATTTCTTCAGCAATGCTCCTATTTCTCTCTCCAGGCCCCAGACACACTTCTGGCCCAGGTAGGCCTTACCAGATCCAAAAGTTTCCTGGGAGCTGTGGGTGCTTGTCTCACTCTGAAACTCACCCGTCTATACAGCCTTACCTTGGCCTCTGCATCCTCTGCCCTCTTAAAAGCAGTGCTGGGAACTTCAGGAAAGGCACTGTGGCCTCCTCTGGAGAAAAGCTCAAGTTGAAAAGGTGCAGAGAAGGCTCACTGGCAGCATGTGCTGAGACGGGGAGAAGTGCTCTGAGCTTGGGCAGCGGGTAGACACAAGGCTGGGCAGTTTCTGGCCGGCTGGGGAATCTGTTCCTCTCGCTGGGGCTCCAGTTTTGGAGACCACACAGGTTGCCAGTCACGCCACTGCAACAGCACAATAGACCAGAGAGTGGGGACATGTTGGGGCAAACAGTGATGGAAGATGTTTAGTAGCATTACGATTAGGCCTCAAGTTAATGAATCACAACTGCAAGAAATCATGATAATCCAGCAGGCATTAGTGACAGATTAGCTTCAAAGCTGCCATAAAAGTGCCATAATGCTTACCTAACGGCATGATTAATTCTCCCAGTACATAATGGCTTTATGGGGGAACCCGGCACCAACAGAGGCTTGATGGAAAGCCATGCCGAGATCCTGCAGAGCCAGGGGCGTTCCCACCCTGCCCGGCCCATTTGGCTTCCGCTCCGCCTGCCCAGAGTCGACTTCAGCCACTGCTTTGCAGTAGACAAAGCAGAGGCTCGGACTCAGCCCAGAGCCATCTCCCCAGGAGCCCCTACAGTCTCTCCAATGCTATGCCCCTCACCAAGTGACAGTTAACCTAAGAGGACACCCCGGTCCCCAAGATGGGCCCCTCCTGTGACTAGCACTGGGGCCTGGAGAGCCCCACCCCAAGTTCCCTGATCAAAGGACCCTGGGAACTCGCCATGACTCTACCCCTCACTAGCTGCGTGACCTGGCAAGTCACTTGACCTCTCTGGGCTCAGGCAGCCAGGCTCAGAGCTTCCACGCTTCACCACCAGACCACCTCCCTGTCACAATGCCTACTTATTAGTCACTAACTTTTGTTCCAAGCATGATCCAAATCCCCTTAGATATTATTTCATCTACTGCCCATAACAATCCCATGATACAGTTAACCCTGTTATCCTCACTTTACAGATAGGGAAACCGAGGCTTGGCAAGTGAGATAGCTATCCCACAGTCCAACTAGGGATGGATATGGAACCAGGCAGTATTCCCTAGTTCCTTGCTTCTCTATCAACCCTCTTCAGCCCTAATACCACCAGTTTAACCTCAAGGGAGAAGCAGCTGCTTGTGAAACACCGAACATCATCTTTTATGAAAAAGGATTGGCACTACTCAATTCCCTGCCCCTTCCCCTTGGCAGCGGAGAACCCATGAGCTGGGAGGCAGGAGATACGGATTCTCCTGCTCCTGTTGATCATGACCCTGTGGTTCCCATAGTGTTACCTGGGCACTTAACCATTCCAGGTTTCTGTTTCAGCTTCTCTCATAGAGAAGGGGAATAATGATAAGAATAATAATACTGCGCCTGCCTGGCAACAGGAAGCGGAGCCTCTGGGCCCCTGGAGGCTCAGATCTACCAGTGCCCAACTCTCACCAGAGCCAGGGCCACTTTGCTGAATTGTCCCCAGACTCTACTTCAGAGGCTGCCACTGTGATCCTCCCATCATGCCATAAATATGGAGGCAATTAGCACGGAGCCCAGGTCCAAAGGGAATTCTCAGAGCCCTGTTCATCTTCATAATGTTGAAGAAAACCCTCCAGGAGGCCCACATCACTGCTTCAGCAGCAGGCTGGCTGCTTCAGGTCTGACTACCTAGGACTCCGTGAGACTTATGCAGCTCCCCTCCCATGACCCTCCCCTCGCCCACAACGCTTAGCACCCACCAGGCTGCCACCAAGAAGCCTGCAAAAAAGGACACTCGGTCCTCTCCAACCCAAGCATCAACAGGCTCCACATTTTGCCAAGCTCTATATTCCTTTTATTTATTGTATTTTATTCTCCTTTATCGTATTGTATTTAGAGATAGGGTCTGTCTGTCACCCAGGCTGGAGTGCCATGGCACGATCATAGCTTACTGCAGCCTCCAACTCCTGGGCTCAAGCAATCCCCCTGCTTCAGCCTCCCAAGTAGCTGGAAGTGCAAGCACATGCCACCATGCCCCCTAGTTTTTTTCATTTTTTATAGAGCTGGGGTCTTGCTATGTTGTCCAGGCTGGTCTCAAAATCCTGGCCTCAACTGATCCTCCTGCCTGAGGCTCCCAAAGCTCTGGATTACAGGTATGAGCCATCACACCTCGCCTCATGTTCCTTGTAAATTCCAGAATCAAAGGGCAAAGCATCACTCAGTCAGCAAGTACTTACTTCCACAGGGCACCATAAGGAAGACCAAGAAGATCCACGTTATCCCTTTGCAGCCCTGGGTCCCAAAGTGGACATCTGCTAGCACTGCTGATGGCAGTCGCATTGCTGGTTCTGGGTGGGTTTTCTAAAGGCGACTATCTTTGTGATGGCCCAAAGACCCATTCACTTGTTTGAGCTGACTGCCTGATATGTGTAGGCTGACCCTGTCACCTTGGTTACAAAGCCATAAAATCCAGGGTTGAAAGAGACCTCAAAGAGGTTTTTCCTGCCCCCTCCCAAAATCTAACCCCATCCGCTATGAACTCCTCTTGAGTCAAATATATAGTTCTTATTTCAACATGCTGTGCCCAGTGAAAGCTCAATAAATATTTATTGATGGTGGTACCCATGATGAATTAACAGCCAAAGCTATAAAATTAAAGTTTCACACAAGGAGAAACCCCAGTGAGAAAGAAACTGCTACGTAAAGTTTACAATTTTTCAAAATGACAAGTGTTCACACACACACACACAGTGTAGCAGACAGAAGACGACCATTCTCTACCTCATCTATTCAAGGAATCGGGAAACAAGAAAGTCCTTCTCATAGACTATCCTGCCTCAGTAGAGGTATGCTCGGTTTCTCAGAGGCCAATCAGCCCAGCCTGTCCGGATGTGCTTGGCCCTGGACACAGCGTTCACATTGCCTCCTTGCTGGAACCAAGAGCAAATGCAACAACACAAAAACAAAATAGCACTGCTGAAGGCTTTATCCAGCGTCCCAGATGGACTAATGTCGATGCAAGAATATACCCAATTCTGAGGATGCTAACACTTCAAGAAGGACAGACAGCTTAAAGATAATATATACATAGAAAGAAAGGCTAGGATGTGTAGCCATAAAGAAGACAAGAACTTTGAGACCTATTGAGCAGAGACCAGTCATCGCTAATCAGACCTTGCAGCCCTTCCACTACACCAGTGTATTTATAGGCATGAACATGCCGATTGCAGGTCTAAGAGCCTCCATCGTTCTTTTCTAGAACCAACTGACAGAGCTAGCTTCTTTCTTTCTTCCCTCCTTTCTTTCTTTTGAGGCAATGTCTCACTCTGGCTAGAGTGTAGTGGCACAATCTCAGCTGACTATAACCTCTACCTACTGGGTTCAAACGATTCTCCTGCCTCAGCCTCCTGAGTAGCTGGGACTACAGGCACCTGCCACCACACCCACCTAATTTTTGTATTTTTTTAGTACAAAAATAGACAGGGTTTTACCAGGTTGGCCAGGCTGGTCTCAAACTCCTGAACTTGTGATCCACCTGCCTCAGCCTCCCAAAGTGCTGGGATTACAGGGGTAAGCCACCACACCCAGCTGAGAGCTAGCTTTTTTCTTTCCCTAGACTCCCTGGATTTCCTTGAACTGCAGCACGGAAGCACCAAAGCTCACTTAACCACCTTTCATTTTCCATCGCATGTGACTTGGCGGAAGCTCACCGGGACTGCTCAATCAGGATCTTCTCATACCAAGCCACAGAGCTGTCCAGCTGTCAGGCAGAAGAGGGCCCTGCAACTCCTGATACCAAACCAGAGAGGACTGTTTACAAGCTGATCAGCTTCATGGGCTAAAGAAAAACCTCAGGCAACTTGGGAGGGGGGAAACAGAGAAGGCTTTGAAGAAATGGATTAGGCCAGCCTGGACAACATAGCAAGACTCTATCTCTACTAAAAAATCTGAAAAAATTAGCCAGGCATGGTGACGAGTAGGTGCCTGCAAGTCCCAGCTACTCAGGAAGTCGAGGCAGGAGGATCACTTGAGCCCAGGAGTTTGAGGCTACATTGAGCTGTGAGCTGTGCACTTTAGCCTGGGTGACAAAGCAAGATACTGTCTTAAAAAAAAAAAAAAAAGAAAGAAAAGAAAAGAAATGGATTCGAGTTTGTGCTAATCTTATAAAGTTAAGTGAGATCATGCCCCCAGATTCTCTCCCACCAGAGGGAGCTGGTTGGAGCCTAGTTTTGCATTAGCCTAAAGTGTCTGATGCAGCATCCAGCGGGGCTGGTGAGGGTTGGGTGGAGATGGAGCAGACACAGAAAGGAAAAGCTCTTGAAAACCAAAGACAGAGTCTCAGGAGGACACTTCCACCCTGCCCTTTCCCAGCTCTGGCCTTTGGGCAATGTCCAAAAGATCCCCCAAGGGAGCTTCTGCCTGGAGCAGGTCAGGAGCTCCAGTGTGGGTGCCCTGGGGCTGTGCTGCCTCTTCCAGGCTTCTCCTGGATGACTAGGCTATTCTCCCTTTTCCAGCTCTTGTTCCTTGTCCAATCCTCACGAACCTCCTACTTGAAAACTATGCTGGTTGTTGACCAGGTAACCAGGAATTTAGAAGGCAGAGAGAGAGGCTGCCCATAATGTAACCCCAGCACTTTGAGAGGCTCAGATGGGAGGATCACTTGAGTCCAGGAGTTCGAGACCAGCCCGGGCAACATAGCGAGACCTCATCTGTACTAAAACTAAAGAGAATGAATAAACTAATTAACTTGCTTCGCACCTGTAGCTCCAGCTATTCAGGAGACTGAAGCAGGAGAATTGCTTGAGCCCAGGAGTCTGAGGCTGCAGTGAGCTACATTGCTGGGCGACAGAGTGAGATCTCTAAAAAATAAAAAAAATTAAAAAAAAAAGAGGAGAGAAGGAGAAGAGAGGGGAGGGGAGGGGAGAGGCGAGGCAGAGAGGTTGGGGGAGGGGGAATCTGTGAAGCTATAGACCAGGAACAACTCATGGCATCTCCTGACCCTCAGCTCAGTAGAGTTCTTCCCACAGGAAGAAGCATGTCCATGGACAGAAAGCGAACACCTACAGTCCACTTGGCAACACTCACTGGGCCCCTCCCAGCCCAGGCCTGTCTTCCCTGGCTGCTGAAAGTGGCCTCATGATTCCGCTCTAATTTTTGGTGCATGTTCCTGCCCAGATTGGGTGCCTGATCTTGTCATGGCCAGCGTTTG